AGCACGAGGCATTGCAATACCAGATTTCAAGACATACTACATGGCAGTGATACTGGTACTGGCACAAAAACCGATGGGTAGACCAATGGAACAGAATAGAAACTCCAGAAAACAAACCAAACATCTACAACCAACATCACAGACAATCAAAGCCAAAATTAACAAATGGGATTACACCAAATTGAGAAGTTTCTGTACTGCAACACAAACACTCAGCAAAGTTAAGAGGCGACAGCCAGAATGGGAAAAAATATTTGCAAACTATGCAACTGATAAAGGATTAATATCCAGAATATATAAAGGGCTCAAGAATAACAACAACAAAACAAATACAGTGAAGAAATTGGCAAAGGACTTGAACAGGCATTTTTTTTTTAAGAATTTATTTATTTGAAAGACAGAGTTACAGAGAAGGGTAGGTAGCGAGAGAGAGAGAGAGAGAAAGAGGTCTTCCCCAAATTGCTGCAATGGCCAGAGCTGAGTTGATATGAAGCCATGAGCCAGGACCTTCTTCTGGGTCTCCCACATGGGTGCAGGGTCCCAAGCACTTGTGCAATTCTCTGCTGCTTTCTCAGGAGCATTAGTAGGGAGCTGGATCAGAAGTGGAGCAGCTGGGACTCAAACTGGCACCCATATAGGATGCCAGTGCTGCAGGTGAGGGCTTTAACCTACTGTGCCATAGTGCCAGCTCCAAGGCATTTTTTCAAAAGAGGAAATCCAAATGGCCAACAGACACTTGACAAAATGCTCAGGATCACTAGCCATCAGGGAAATGCAAATCAAAGCCACAATGAGGTTTCATCTCACTCTAGTTAGAATGGCTCTCATACAGAAATCAACAAACTACAAATGCTGGTGAGGATGTGGTGGAAAAAGTATCCTAATATACTGTTGGTGGGAATGTAAACTGGGGCAGCCACTGTGGAAGACAGTATGGAAATACCTCAGAAATCTGCAAAAAGACCTACCATATGACCCAGTCACCCCACTCCTGGGAATTTACCCAAAGGAAATGGAATCAGCACATGAAAGTGTGATCTGTACCCCCATGCTCATTGCAGCTCAATTCACAATAGCTAAGATATGGAATCAACCAGATGCCCATCAACAATTACAGTACATGTACACCATGGAATACTACACAGTGGTAAAAAAAAAATGAAATCTTGTAATTTACAATAAAAATGCATGAAACTGGAAAACATTATACTTAGTGAAATAAGCCAGTCTCAAAAAGACAAATACCATATGTTCTCTTTGGTCTGTAGTAACTAATAAAATACTTGAAATGTAATATATAGAAGTAAAATTGGCACTTCTAAATATGATGATTTTGAACAGTCCTTGGTTAGACTGTTGAGGAATGGTGTTTTGTTTTGTTCACAGTATTTGTTGAACTCTTTACTTAGTATAGGGTTAATCTTACATAAAGTTAATTGAAAGTAGATTTTAGTAAAAAATAAGACTGGGAATAGGAGGAGAAGGAGGAAGAAGGGTAGAAGTGTGAGTGTGAGGGAGAAGAAGGTGGGAAGAATCACTATGTTCCTAAATTTGTATATATGAAATACATGAAGTTTGTGTAACTTAAATAAAAGGTTTCTAGAAACAAAAGAAGCATTAAGTAAAATTCTGCTACAATGGTGTTGGGTTTATGCTTTTGAGAATGCATTTTTCCTATGTATCTTATAGTCCTAAGTCATAATTTTGAGTAACAGCAATTTCATAACATTTGTTGAACTCTTTATTTAGCATAGGGTCAATCTATGAGTATAAAGTAAATTGAAAATAGTTCTTTGCAAAGGATTAAGGCGGGAATAGGAGAGAGAGGAGGAAGAAGGGTGATAAGTTGGGGGTAGGGTAGGAAACATCACTATGTTCCTAAATCTGTATATATGAAATATGTGAAATTTGTATACCTTAAATAAACTTTTAAAAAAATTTTTAAAAAGAGGAAATACAAATGGAAAATATATGAAAAATGTTCAATATCACTACTATCAGGGAAATGCAATTCAAAACCACAAAGATATATCATCTTACTCCAGTTAAAATGGCTGTTACGAAAAGGACAAAAAAAAAAATGCTGGAGCTGGTGAACATGTGGAGAAAAGAAATCTTTATACACTGTTGCTGGAAGTGCAAATTAGTAAAGCCACAGTCCGGAAGTTTCTCAAAAAAATTGAAAACAAATCTACCATATGATTGAGCCATCCCACTTTTGGGCATATATCTGAAGGAAATGAAATCAACATATAAAAACATAAATAATATATAAACAAAATAATAACAGATACCTACACTCCTACATTCACAATTCACAATAACTATGATATGGAATAATCCTAGATGTCCATTGATAAACAAGCGGATAAAGAATATATTGTGTGTGTGTATGTATATACATACACGATGGAATATTATCAGTAATAAAAAAATGAAATCCTGACAATGCAACAAAATGAGTGGAGTAGAGATCCTTATGTTAAATCAAATAAACCTGGCACAGATATCCAAATACTGCATTTATCTCACATATGTGCAAGTTAAAGGGATAGTCAATTTGAACTTAAAACAGATTATCACTAGAGTTTGGGTAGTATGAAGGCAGGGGGAAGAGAGGGAGGTTAGATAATGGGTACCAAAACACTCATGTAGAATTAATAGAGTCTAGAGTTCCATAACAGTGGAGTGACGAATTCACAACCAGGTATTATACTGTATAAAGATCTGGAGGATGGATGGTAGACTCTGAACAGAAAGAAAATGGAAAAAGAAATTACCTGGTTTGAATGGTTTACATACATTGGAATACTGCATTGTATCCCACAAAATATACAAATACCACATATTAATTAAAATTTTTAAAACTCAAAAATATTTTCAAATGAAAAATAATTTTTAAAAATCAAGAAGTCAGCAGCTGGGGTTGGCCTGTGGTGTAGCAAGTAAAGCTACTGCCTGTAGTGCTGGCATCCCATATGGGCACTGGTTCAAGATCTGGCTGCTCCACTTCTGATCCAGCTCTCTGCTATGGCCTGGGAAAGCAGTAGAAGATGGCCTAAGTACTTGGGCCCCTGCACCCACATGGGAGACCTGGAAGAAGCTCCTGGCTCCTGGCTTCAGATCAGCACAGCTCCAGTCATTGCAGCTATTTGGGAGTGAAGCAGCGGAAAGAAGACCTTTCTCTCTCTCGCTCTCTCGCTCTCGCTCTTTCGCTCTCTGCCTCTTTGTAACTTTCCCTTTCAAATAAATTAATTAATTAAAAAAAAAAGTCAGCAGTTTCTAGGTAACTCATTTTAAGAAGGCACAAGAAAATGTTTCAGATGATTTCTACAGCAGCAAACCATCCAATTCAATTTGCAAGGAAAAAATTAATCTAGCTCATGCCCTAAATGAACAGGACATTCATTTGCAGCAGAGAGAATAGCCAATACCATATTTATCCATTTGGTTCAGCTTATACAATCGTGACTGGAAAACCAAAGTTGAGCAAACTTTCTGCTCAATGTGTGCCAACAACATTATGGCCAGACCAGATGCACACTAGTGCAGAGTTATATTTTATGTCAATGCAAATTTAAACTAGTGTGAGATCAGGATTCTGAAGCACTTCGAATTGGGAAAGGTGAAACATGGTCTTACCAGTATGATCCTAAAGACAAGGCACAGTCAAAGCAATGGTTACCAAGAGATGAAACTGGTTCAGTCAAAAGCAAAGATCACGGCAATGTTTTGGGATGCTTATTTTGCCTGTTGCCTTTCTGAAGCACAAAAGAACAATAACATCTGCTTATTCAGAGAGTGTTTTAGGAAAGTTAACCAAAGCTTTAGCAGAGGAAAGCTTCACTGGAGAGTCCCTCATTGTGACAATATTACTGCTCATTCCTCTCATCAAATGAGTAATTTTGCAGTTTCAAGGGAAATCATTAAGCTTCTAACTTACGGTCCTCACTTGACATCTTAGGAGTTTTGTTTCCAATTCTTAGTAACTATTAAAAGGCATATTTTTCTTCAGATAATAATGTAATAAAAGACTGAATTAACATCATTAAATTCCCAAAACCCTGAGTTCATTAAGGATGGGCTAAATGGCTGGCATCATCACTTACAAAAGTTTCTTGAACTTGATGCAGCTGAAAATTTTTAATTTCTGTCTTTTAGTTAAATTTTTCCATGAATCTTTATTTTTCCTAATTAAAGCAATAAATACAAAATAAAATGTGGCCAGTGTTGTAGAGCAGGTTAAGCTACTGCCTACGATGCCAGCATAACAAATCAGAGCACCAGTTTGAGTTCCTGCTGCTTTGCTTCCAATTCAGCTCACTGCTAATGTGCCTGGGAAAGCAGGAAAAGATGGCTCAAGCACCTGTGGCCCTTGCCACCCACATGGGAGACCCAGACAGAGTTCCAGCCTCCTGGCTTTGGTTTGGCCCAACCCCAGCCATTAAAGCAATTTGGGGAGTGAATCAACAGATAGAAGATCTCTGTATCTCCCTCTCAGCCTTTCAAAGAAATAAAATTATATCTTAAGAGCAAAACAAAACAGTAAATTCAGTGGTGGCTGCCAAAGTACCCAAATCCCTCAGGCCATATAATCTAATTTTAATGTCAAAAACTTCTTTAGTAGCAGAAGACAAAGTAGTTGTTTTTTGAGCACTTCATTCTAAATTATGACATCTTAAAAAAACTTTACATCTTTTAATTTACAATAAATGTGGAAGAATATAAAATGGTATTAATTTTTAAGATTTTCACCTTAACTGATTTTACAGTAAGAATGCCAATATTTTTAGTTACATGAAAAATTACATGTTTGTAAATAGTTGTGGTAGCTTTATCACAGCATGACAACTCATTAACTTGCAAATATTTTCTAAAGTTCAAATGGAAACTGTTCAATTCTTTCCTAAATACCTTTCTTATCTGCCAAACTACTCTAACTCCTATATTAAGTAAAGAACAAACATTCAAACTACAGAGATCTAGTTCCTTTTTGTTACCTTTTTTCACCATAGTCCAACATTATTAGGTCATTCCTCAGAGAACTGGTCTGTTCCTCGACTATTCTCATCCTTTGCTGGAGTACCGTGAATGTTTCAGAAGCTGTAGCGTTGATGTGGGCTGGAGAAAGGACCGGTCTGCACACTGTAGTTTCCATATGCACCTAAGATTAATCAAAAAATATTGGGGTTCTAAGTATGTTACTGACTATGCATCGCAGTCCTGTAGAACTCAGGTACGGCCATGTGTACTGCTTTGGTCAATTAAACGCAGGTGGAAGCTTTAAGTGCCAGCCTGTTGTTCACCATTTCTGTTTTCCCTACTCCATGAGATCCACAAAAGCCCAGCTAGTGCCTGTTCCATGTGCCAGGGTCCTAGATGAAGATGACATGAAACAGATTCATGACTCATCTGTGACATATGAATAGTGTGAATGAGCAAGACATACGTTGTAAGCCATTGAGATTGTTGAGTAGTTTGTTATTGTGTCATAATCTAGACTACCCCATTTGCTAGCATTAGTCACATATTAAGCTCTGTGATTTGTCTGAGGGAGTTATTACTTCTATTATCAGCGTTTTCATTACCAAGAAGGCACCTGTGTATCTTTTAGACACCGACAGGTGCCTATCCCCAGCTCACCAGTGTGGCCTGGCCTAAACAGGATCCTCAGCACTAACAGGTACTATGCCCACCGGAATGTTCCTGCTCCTCCACAGACCCCTCCAAAACTGAAAGGCCCTGCCTGTGCTGCTGCACCAGCTTTACATCTTCTGCATGTGCCCACCAGAGCAGTCACACTCTAAGGCAAGTTGCAGAAATTGACAGGAACCTTGAGCATGTACCAAGACTTGTCACACTCAGAGCTGCTAAGCCCTGCTTAAACAAGCTGCATCCAGATGGTAGAGCATTCCCATAGCAAACATCTTTAACTGAGGCCACTGAGACACCCACAGGTATTGCTGATGCTGATTATAGCTAAAGAAGCTACACAGATACTACAGTACTGTGCTTCCCTCTCCCTACTCCCAAGGAACTAAAACCAACACAGCCTACCCAACCAACATTCCTAGGACACATTCCCAGGAGAAAGTCTTTTACTATGAAAGCCACTCTATAAAATTGGTAGAGGCAGCTGATTCCTTCAGGTATGCAAACATCAACACTGAAAACAAGAAACACATAAAAGGCAACATGGGACATAATACCTCTCTAATACCTTCACAGGGACATAATACCTCTCTAGCAGTAGGCCCTAAAGAAAAAAATGTTGAAATATTGCCTGAAAGAGTGAAAAAGTTCAAAAGAATGATTTCAAGGAACAATGAGATATGAGACAGCATAGACAGATAATTCAACGAAACTAGGAAGATAATTCATTATCTGAATATGAAATTAAGAGAGACCTCTAGGTCATAAAATATAATCAAACAGAAACACTGGACCTGAGTAACTCAATCAGTGAGATAAACACAATCAGAGCCTCAGCAACAGATCATATTAAAGCAGAGGAAAGAATTTCTGAACTTAAAGATGGGTCTTTTGAAATAACTCAATCAGAGAAAGAAAGGAAAAATTGAAGAAAGTCCACAAGACTTAAGAGATGTGATTGGACAAATGTTTGTATTATGGGTGTTCCAGAAGGGAAGGGAAAAGGCTGAGAAAACCTACTCAGTGAAATAATTGCTGAAAAATGACTAAAGGTTGAGAAAAATATGGACATCCAGGACATACTTGCAAAGATTTAGATAGTTTTCAGAACACTCAATTATATAAAGCAACCAGAAAGTTCAAAGTACCCCAAATAGATTCACCCAAAAAAGGATCTCTGAGGCATATTATAAACTTGATCAAAAAACAAAAACAAAAAAAGAGAACTGTAAACACAGAAGTGAAAATTCACATAAGAGAATTTCAAGTCATATATAAAGGAATCTCCATTAGACTATCTGAAGATTTCTCAGCAAAAATCTTACAAGCAAAAAGAGAATAAGATTTTTTTCTTAAAAAAATTTATTTTTTCTATTGGAAAGGCAGAGTTAGAGAGAGTGGTAGAGACGGAGAGGTCTTCCATCCAGTCATTTACTTCCCAAATGCCTGCAATGACCAGGGCTGGGTCAGGCTGAAGCCAGGAGCTTCTTCCACGTCTCCCATGTGGTGCAGGGGCCCAAGCACTTGGGCAATCCTCTGCTGCTTTCCCAGAGGCACTGTCAGGGAGCCAGATCAGAAGTGGAGCAGCCGGGACTCAAACTGGTGCCCACATGGGATGCCGGTGCTGCAAGTCAGGGCTTTAACCCGCTGCACCACAGCACCGGCTCCTAGGATAATATATTCTAAGATTCCACATTTACAAAAGAAAAAAACAACTGCTAACCAATAATACTATACCCAGCAAAGCTATCTTTCAGAAATGAAGAGGAAATAAAGATCTTCTAAGACAAGAAAAACTGAGGGAATTCATCACAAGAAGACTAGCTTTATGGAAATGTTTAGGGTGTTGTATACTGGAAGCAAAAGTTCAATAACTGCCATCATGAAATCACAGAAAATTATAAAACTCAATAGCAGAAAACAAAAAATAGAATCAAACTTTATCAATATATTTTTGAAAATAACAGATAAACAATGAGAGGAATAAAGGAACAAAGGGTATATAAAACAACCAGAAACCTTTAATAAAATGACTAGAGGTGACCTTAGTTATTATTAACAGCCTTGAATGTAAACAAATTAAATTATTCAATTAAAGATTCAGTCTGGCTAAATTTTTTTTTTTTTTTTAACCACAAGAACCAAGGTGTTACTTATATAAACTCACTTCTTCTTTGGTAAAGACTCACAAAGATTGAAAGAGAAGGGATAGAAAGATATTCCATGCAAACAGAAACCAAAAGCAACAGGAATAGCTATACTTACCTCAGATAAAATAGACTTCCCAGAAAAAAAGTTGTATGAGACAAAGACCACTATACAGTGATGAAGGGTTCAATAAATAAGGGAAAATAATAATAGTAAATACTTTTATATATGCACCCAATACCAATACACCCAATTACATACAGCAAACATTAGATCTTGAAGGAGAGATATACTTCAATACAACAATATTTCTGGACTTCTAAGCCCACTTTCACCAGTGCACAAAATTAACAAGGAAATATCAAACTATACTATAAGCCAAATGGACCTGGCAGACATTTTTTATTTATTTGAAAGAGTTACAGAGAGGTAGAGGCAGAGAGAGAGGGAGAGGTCTTCCATCCGCTGGTTCACTCCCCAAATGACCGCAATGGCCAGAGCTGAGCTGATCTGAAGCCAGGAACCAGGAGCTTCTTCTGGGTCTCCCTTGCAGGTGCAGGGGCCCAAGGACTTGGGTCATCTTCTGCTACTTAACTGGTAGTTAACAGGTACCCACCCTGTGAGGCCCATAGTAAAGAGATGGATTGGAACTGGAACAGCCAGGACTCATACAAACACCCATATGCGATGCTGGCATTGCAGGCTGGGGCTTTAACCCACCGCGCCACAGCAACAACCACAACATTTACAAAACATTTCATCCAACAGCTGCAGAATACATATTCTTCTCGTCAGCATATGGAGCATTCTTTAGAACAGACTACATATTAGGCCTCAAGTTTCAACAATTTAGGTGTATATTGGAGAAATAAGTTCTAAAGTTCTCCAGCATAACACAATGACTACAGTTCACAAAAAATCATGTTTTATGAGAAGAGAGGAGCTTGAATATCCCCCACCCCCCATACACACAAGATGCATGTTTAAGGAAACAAATGCTCATTACTCTGATTTGATCTTAAGATTTTGAGAGAGAGAGAGCTACAGACAGAGAGGTCTTCCATCCACAGGTTCACTCCCCAAATGACTGCAATGGCCAGAGCTGGGTTGATTCAAAGATAGGAGTCAGGAGCCTCCTCTCGGTCTCCTGTGGGCGAAGGCCAGACCATAGCAGAGAGCTGGATTGGAAGTGGAACAGCCAGGACTCAACCAGCAGCCATATGGGATGCTGGCACCACAGGCAGAGGTTTAGCCGACTACACTACAGTACCAGGCCCTGATTTGATCATTATTCATCATACACATGTATCAAATTACCTCACAGTACCTTTGAAGATATACAATTATGCTGATTTTAAAAAAAGGAAAAAAGCCACATCTAAAATGAAGTTAATCTGAATTTTCTCTTGTACTTACTAATGCATGATTCCCCTCCCCAAAATACATCACATAAAATCATGAAGCTAAATAAAATAAAAAGTAATTAGAATGGTGGGACTATTCTTTTAAGGTATTAGCAACAGAAGAAAAATTAGCTTATACATGGTCTCAACAGGTAAATGAATCATGTTCAATGACAAGGTCATTGGTGGAAACTTCAAAGATATTTTCCAGTAACTCTATTCTGTATAGATATTCTATACTAATTGTACTGTAAACCAAAACCATCTCTAGCAACAGTGTTCCTGTGGGAATGGATTCACAGACATCCAACTTGGGATATCAGGAATTTGCCTTTCTTCCCACTTGCTGGGTAATTATCTCCCTCCCTGTCATTTCCCAGGCAGTGAAAGTAGGGACTATCTCAATTCCTACCATTGAAGTTGGTCCCTAGGATCCAGGGCAGGAAATCATGAAGTGGAAGGAATGGTGGCAGGATTTAATGGGGCAAAAAGCAAGGCAGGTAGGGGTATAGAGACTAATATTCTTGACAGTATACCAGTGCTATATCCATTGAGGACATTTCTTTATCCTAAAATAGCTCTCCAATATCTTTTGCTATAATGAGTATGTCCTCCAAAAGTTCATGTGCTGGAAACTTCATCCCCAAATTCAGATATTAACAGTATTTGGAAGTTAGGGCCTTTGGTAGGTAACTAGCATTAGACAAGGTCACCAGGGTAGAACCTAATGTAAGCATTTGTGATTTTATAAGAAGACAAGACCCAAGCTAGCACACTTGTTCCATCTTTCCCTGTGGTGCTCTCTGCCATGTAATGAGGTAGCAATAAAGCCCTCACCAGAGGCTAGTACCATGCTTTCAGAACTCCTCTGTCCTCTAAATAAAAGAAGTTGAAAAGTTCATGGTCCCAGCCTCCCTTACAGCTGGCACATCCATGTGATACATCCTTGCTAATGAAACTTTAGACAGAAGTTTGCAAAGGGTAGCCTGTTTTCTGATATAAAGGACAGAAATAATTGTACCTGTCCTTTCCTTCCCTATTATGATGCCCAGAGCTGTGAGTGATCTTTCATTGGCCATGCAGCACTCCAGTATTAAATACAAAGAGCTAAGGATCACCCATGTCTGAGAAACACAAGGAAAATGCCAGAGAAGCTCAGATGAATCCAGCATTTTTATTTTATTTTTATTTATTTATTTATTTTTGACAGGCAGAGTGGACAGTGAGAGAGACAGAGAGAGAGGTCTTCCTTTGCCGTTGGTTCACCCTCCAATGGCCACTGCAGCCGGTGCGCTGTAGCCGGCGCACCGCGCTGATCCGATGGCAGGAGCCAGGTACTTATCCTGGTCTCCCATGGGGTGCAGGGCCCAAGGATTTGGGCCATCCTCCACTGCACTCCCTGGCCACAGCAGAGAGCTGGCCTGGAAGAGGGGCAACCGGGACAGAATCCGGCGCCCTGACTGGGACTAGAACCCGGTGGGCCGGTGCCGCAGGCGGAGGATTAGCCTAGTGAGCCGCAGCGCCGGCCGAATCCAGCATTTTTAGACAAAACCAGTAATCTCCAAACTGTGTATGTGAGAAAAATTTTTTATTTTTAAGATTTATTTATTTGAAAGTCAGAGTTAGAGAGGAGAGGCGGAGAGGGAGGGAGGGAGGGAGGGGTCTTCCATCTGTTGGTTCACTCCCCAGATGGCCGCAACGGACAGACGGAGCTGTGCAGATCTGAAGCAAGGAGTTTCTTCCGGGTCTCCCATGTAGGTGCAGGGGCCCAAGGACTTGGGCCATCTTCTACTGCTTTCCCAGGCCATAGCAGAGAGCTGGATGGGAAGTGGAACAGCTGGGTCTTGAACTGGCGCCCATATGGGATGCTGGCGCTTCAGGCCAGGGCATTAACCCAATGCACCACGGCACCAGCCCCTATTTTGTTCGTTTTTAATCACTTTCCTTGAGTATGCTCATGGTATTCCCAGACAATAGCTCATGGAAAAACAAGTATGAGGAGAAAGTAAAGAAAACTACAAACAGCAGCATAGGGAGGACAATTTCTGTGGTACCCTATGAGGCCCAAGTAGCTGGCTATAATAGGAAGGACTGTCTACTAATTTATATTGGAAGAACATAATACTACCATAAAAACAGCAATGGACTACTTTTAGAAAAAATTATAGGAAATGAAGACCCTTCTTCCATATATTTAAAATAGGATACAGATGCTCACCTAAAGTATCTTCATGTAATTGTTGAAATGTCTAGTTCTATTGATATTTCCCTAGGGTACCTATGATATTTATATAATGCTTACATTCATTTTATAGGGAATCTGCCCATTCAGCCATAAAAACAAAATGGAATATAAAACTAATTAAATTGCTTCCTTTACTTACAGCAGAGAAAGTGTGTATGTGGGAATAAGAATTTGATTTACCCCAGCATCCACTCAACCCTGCTCTATACTAGGGCTTCTCAGCCTTCCAGAAAGAAGAAAAAAATTCTCAAACAAAAAGTAGGAACCAACTCAGGCCCCAGACTTTGAGGAGAAGTAAGTTTATAGAAAATATCACTTTAAGGAAGGGGAGACCAAAAGTAAACATTCATTTATGGTGGACAGGGACAACATTTGGTGTGAAATACATGGTGCTGTCCTTGAAATATTCTCTTAGTCAGTGAGGATCGTTCAGGCTGTTGACTCAAAAGTTAAACAAGCCAATCTTGCCCTTGGGCATTTATTAAAAATAGATCTCAGGATTAGGAGAAAACCCTATCCCACCCCAAAACAAATCATCACCTCCTTCTCCCCACTCTATCCCGCTTGCCTGACCCAAACAATGACAAGGTCAAGAGAGCCCCAGGAAGCAAGAGAGTGAGCAGTGATGATCAAGTCAGATCAAGTCGCAGAAATGCAGCCTTAATAGCCACCAGGGACAGTTCCTAAGTGTGGGCAAGGCCGTTAAAGGAAGTGTGAGGTAGGATTTGGGATCTAGAGAATGTGTCTGCCGAGTTAGGGCTTAAAGTCAGAAGATGCTCATTTTCACTGCAGTTACTCATATCCCTGCCTGTCCCTTCCCAGCTGGGTATCAGAAACATCACACTCCCATACACACACACAATCCACTAGCCATTAGGCAGATCCTCCATAAGTCATAGCTCTAGAAACCATAGTTGAAGAAGTACAGTCTTAAAGAATCTGCTTCTAATTGTTAATATTCCAGCAAAGATAGAATGGCTTTAATGTATCTGTGCTTTGTTGTTTTTGAAAAGGAGAAAATACAGAGTGCTGTCTTGGACCCAATTCCTGATGCTTGATAGTAACAATAAACAATACTAAGACATACACCTATATTTTTTTAAAAGTTCATTCACAACTAATTTCCATAAGTATTTCATTATCAAAGTAACACAGTTCTATCCCAATGTTCAGAAAGAGTATTGAGGCTGGTAACCTCAACAAAAGCATGCATTGAAAAGATCAATGTCACTATTAATACACTAGTAAAAGCCAGAAGACTTTAGAAAGGGATCACTTGCTTTTGTGGACACTGGCTACATTCCTGAATCTAGTAACAGCTACAACTATATGCTATGTGTCTCAAAGTAGTTGGGCAAGGATTCAATGTTATCACAACCACTGGAAAAATAATTTGCTCAAAAATGCTATCTTCATTCACTCATACATTTAAAAGATATCTCCTGAATGTTTACCATGAGCCATATACTATTAGGCATTGGGTAGTACAGCTGTGAACAAAACAGATAGAACTCCTCACCCTCACTGAGCTGTTACACTTGGTGATAAACATTAGGTAAAATAGTTTTTTCACTGGTGATAAGTGCAATTAAAAAAACTGGAAAAACCATGGGATGGGGATCCTGGCACATATTTTCATTTTAAAGAGTGGTCAAAGAAAGTCTCACTGAGATACGTAAGTAGACGTGTCTATGAAGGAAGTCAGTAGTGAGCGCCAGAAAGTGCTAACACCAGGTGCAAAACCCTAAGTTAGAACACCTGTTGGGCACACAAACAGTGAAGAGGTTAGTTTGGTGGGAAAGCAACAGGTGAAGGAGGAAATGATTGGAGGTGAGGTCAGAGATAACAATGCGATCAGACTACATGGAGCCTTAAAGACCACTGTATAGGTCTGGTTTTTTACTCAGTGACTCACAGAGCCATTGGACAGTTTAGACCTGAGGAGTACTGTGACCTAACTTGACATTTAACTAAATCACCCTGGCTCCCTTCCTCCCCAAATGGTAGGAGGGCATGGACAAAAGCAGGAAGTTGAGACTGCTGCAAACAACCAAGGCAGGTGATGCTGCAAGCTAGAATCAGGGTAACAGCAGTGAAATAGTAAGAAGCGGCCCAAGTCCAGACATAGTTTAAAAATGTTTCACAAATGGATTAATGATAGGATACAAAGGAAGCAGCCAAGATCACTCCAAGGTCTTTGACTTGAGCAACTGAAAGGATGGTGTTAACACCGAGACAGTGGAAACTTACTAAGGCAGAATTGGTTTGAGTGAAAGCGTTTTTTTTTGAAATGCTAAATTTAAAAGGGGAGAGATGCCCAATACACGACTGCATTTGTGGAGCTGGAGTTCAGGTGAGAAATGTGGACGTGAGGTATAAACTCTGGCGTTTTCAGTATACGCATGGCTTATAAAGCCACAAAACTAGACACTAGAGAACAGAAAGATTTAAAGGACCTAGTCTTGAGAGCTCCAAGATGAACAAATGAGGGACAAAAAGAGTATGTGTGTGTTCCAGACAGATTGAGACCTTGTACTACGTAGGGTAAGACTCAATCCTTTCCCCATCCTTTAGGCTGAGCACGGAGCCTGGGGCACTGAGGATGGCAAACACATGGGGATAATTAACAAAAATTTAACCACTGTCTCCAGGTCCTAGGGAAACAGCAAAGGACGAATGTTAATTCTTATTTTTGTAGCAAGCAGGCCTGAGAGGATAAATGGTGGTAAAAAAACAAACATAAACTAAGAAAATAGCCTTCCTATTGACCTATCACTTCCAACCAAACGTATAAATACGGAAAGGTGGTACTGGGATTATCCGGAAAATTCAGCGTCTACACTCCCTTTCCCCCAGGTAGAGATAGGCCAAGGAAGACTTCACTCCTAAATGGTCTTCGCCGGTACCCAAAGCAAAAGCGCCAGCAATCAGGGTCCCGAGGTCCAGGGAGCAGGACTGGGCTCCGCCGGAGAGAGGAGGCTACAGCGGAGGAAAAGTTGACAATGGCTTTTCCTAAACCGCCAACTCTGCCCCACGCCTGCCACCTAAGCTCACCCGCCCAAGGTCCAGCAGCCTCACCCCACAGTCCATCAGTCCGCCGGCCGCTCGGTCCCACTGCAGGAGCGCCGGTTTCCATGGAACTAAGACAGCGCTTCAAACCAACGCGCTCCCTGGCGCATTTGTTCGAGTACGCAGGCGCACCCGCGGCAGGGCATGCCGGGAATTGCAGTTCTCCCAGCCCAAGCGAGCCCTCGGCCCGGGGCGAAACCCAGGCCGGAATCCAGCGGCACGCAGGAAACGTGCTGCCCCGTGACCCGGATGACGACAGTCTCCATTGTGCTCGAGAGCGGGGTACGCCGGGATATGTAGTTTCAGCCCACTCACCTGCTGGCGGTCCTGTAGAGTCACTCGTTTCTGGTGAAAGAGCGGCGTTTTATTTTGTTAATGGGCATAAAAAAAAAAGGGAAAAATTCAGAACTCAAACATTTCTCTCGTTAAAGGAAAAACGAAGTACCATTTCTTCATCCTTGATGGCCACATGAAGAGTAAAACAAAAAATCTTTTTGTTTCTTCAATTCTCTCTTGCCTTGTGGAGAAATCTAAATCTGTGCGAAGTAGCTATGGGAAGAGAACATTGAAAAAAATAAAATAAAATTGCAGCCGTTTCTAAGTTTGACTTTCAGAATGTGTATTTGCATCTATGAAAATCTTTTCATGGTGAGAAAACAACATGGCTTTGCGTTTTGGTGGCTGGAGAGAACACCTGTGAACGCCAGCGCAATTGGAGCTTTTCTCTCTTCTTCTTGAGGCACAGCTGAGTACCCCTTAAGCCCTCTATTGAAAACAGTCTCCTCCCTCCGCACCCCTCCCACCCCGAGGTGAATCCTCATTTTCTTAGCAGATTCCTAACTGAACTGGATCTGGCTGTTCGGATTCTTCTGATCAAGCCTCAGCGGGACAGCGTTCCATCAAACCGCAGCTGTAAGCTCTATTCATCAAACTAGGCAATACAATGAAAGAGAAAGGAACACCGCATTTCACTTGAAGAGGTCAAAAACTTTTAATATGGAAGAAGGTGGAAATGTATTTTAAAGCCTCAAAGCAAGCAATTATTTGCAGTGTGTATGTTTTTTTTTTTCTTTCTTTTCTTTTTGTAACCAAGAGTGTAGGATTTGGCAAGAGGGAAAAGGGGCAGAGAATAGCAAACAGTTTATTCATATGATGTTGTTTTTCAGAGAAAGTTCCAGGAAAACTTAGCTTGCAACGTTGAACTCAGAAGGGGCCAGACCACCAAATCCAGGAAAGTTGAAAAAAAATCAGTCTGACTCAGATTTTTGAACAAATCATGTATATTGCTTGAGCAGGAAGAGACCTCCTATTCCATTTCTACATCTCGGACATGCTTAACAGTTGCTATAAAAGCCCACGGAAACTGCTTCTCAGGGAGGCAGGTTGTTTAGAGAACTCCGCCTCTCCACTGTCTCCTTTACTTCTCCCACGTAAATAAATCTTGGCTTTGAGGAATTCCTGATTAATTGGTAAAAACCCAAGCAAACTGATCCTTTGTGTCTGCAAACATTTTCTTGCATTGACCTCTGATTGTATGTAGAATTAGGACATGTGGGATACATGTATGCGTTCCACAGAAAATCCATACACTTCAGTGTAAAGAGTTTTCACCATCTCAGATCTCCATAATAAGCAGTAGTTAGAGAGCCAAATAGACTAAATTTAGCATTTTTCAGTTCTTTTCCTCTTCCCACCATCTGGCAAACCAGATAAGAACTTAATTACAAAGTTAGAAAAAATAAGTCATTACCAGAGAACTAGTCTCTGAATAGCTGAAAATCATTATAACCAGAGTTTGATTTTATTAAGTGCCTGAACATGTTCTTTTTTTCTGATTTGCTTCTTGATTTTCAATTAATAGTTTTAAAATATGTATCATATTCATAAAACAAGGTCATTTCCTATCTCATTACAATAGCCTCCTATGTGGGTTTTTCTATCATGGTTTCCAAGGCAGCCTTCATACAACTACTAGAAATTTCTTAAAAAGTAAATCTGATTATCTCAGCCTGTGCTTAAGATCATTTAACATCTCCCACCCCCACCATTGAACTAAAAGGTTTCCATTGAACAGGATGAAGATAAAATAGGTAACAGTGTTCACTCTGCTAGGTTTAAATACCTTGGGGTTCTGGCCTTTCTTAGCCCCCAGAGGAAGGTGGAAGAAAGAGGCAAAGACCATCTTCAACAGACAGGTTTCTTTATTGAAGCAAAGGAGTGTGTGTGTGTGTGTGTGGGGGGGTGTCTCTGGTGGGAGGGAGGAAGTGGGACATTCTTGTGCGCCTTATTGTCCTTTACATCCTAATCCACCAGCCTCCCTAGTGGAACCCTGCACTCAAGACTAGGCTAGTCCTCCGCCTGTGACGCGGGCACTCCGGGTTCTAGTCCCAGGCAGGGCGCCAGATTCTGTCCCAGTTGCTCCTTTTCCAGTCCAGCTCTCTGCTGTGGCCTGGGAAGGCAGTGGAGGATGGCCCAAGTGCTTGGGCCCTGCACCCGCATGGGAGACCAGGAGGAAGCACCTGGCTCCTGGCTTTGGATCAGTGCTGCACACTGGCTGAGGCGGCCATTTGGGGGGGGTGAACCAACGGAAAAAAGGAAGACCTTTCTCTCTCTCTCTCTCTCTCTGTCTAATTCTGCTTGTCAAAAAAAAAAAAAAAAAAAAAAAAAAAGACTACTAGTGTAGCATGTCTTTGTGTTTGCAAGCACTGCTCACTCTGCCAGGCATGTTCTTCCTCTCAAAGCACTTGGTAATTGTCATTGTCTTAGGCTGTAAGCTAATTAAGATCAAGAATGTTGTGGTTTTGTTTTCTATACGAACTACAATGCCTGTCACATCCTGGAGGCTTTGAAAACTCTATGTGAACAGATTAACAAGTAAAATTTGAATGCTTCTACTGATCAAGACCTTTTCATTTTCCTATATTCTATTTGTTGGCCAGGAAAAGGCATCTGCTTTCTTCCAGAGTTGGCATTGATTTGACATTGCAATAACACAAATGACAGCAAAACTACCTGCAACCTCACTCCCGGGAGGTGGAAATGTATTCTGTGGACAAAGAAATGCAAACACAGAAAAGGTTTTCATATCATATTGGTAGGTGGAAGAATAAGAATGGCAAGTTCAGGGCCAGCGCTGCGGCATAGTGGTTAAAGCCACTGTCTACAGTGCTGGCATCCCATATGGATGCTGGTTCAAGACCTGGCTGTTCCACTTCCCATCCAGCTCTCTGCTATGGCCTGGGAAAGCAGTGGAACACGGCCCAAGTCCTTGGGTCCCTGCACCCACATGGGAGACCTGGAGGACGCTCCTGGCTTTGGAGCGGCCCAGCTCTGGCTGTTGCAGCCATTTGGGGAGTGAACCAGCAGATAGAAGGTCTCTCTCTCTCTCTCTCTGCCTCTGTCTCTGCCTCTCTGTAACTCTGCCTTTCAAATAAATAAATAAATCTTAAAAAAAAAGAATGGCAAATTCACTAACTGGCTCCTTATGTAGACAATCCAACTCTTTTGATAAAGTATTGACTCTGAGTGTAGAGGATTTGAAGGAGTCTCTTTTTAATGAACTATTGAATTATCCCTGGGCTGCAAAACAGTTGTTAGTTGGACTGTCCAAGAATAGCAATGCTGATTATAAGATCTCAGTTAGCTCAACCAATGAAATTTTGTGGTTACCTAGATTTTCACCTTGTTCTATGAACCAAACTTATGAATAAGTTCAAGGTTATGGTGATGTTGTTGCAGCTCTATTTTACATTTCCTAAGATTAAAGTACTGTTCTGGTCTCAATAGAGTGCCACATAGTCAGCAAAAAGCAGCAGCAGGAGTATTCTTTAAATTGGCTTACACACATCAGCTACCTCACATTACTGATATTTCTGACTGATAATAACTGGGTCTACCACCTATTGAATCCACCATCTATTGGACTGGGTGATTTTATATGTATGTGTAATATATAATTTTGATATATTGATTTACATATATATATATGATTACCTCATGTGATTCAGACTAATCCTAAAATATGGTAGTTTCTGTTTTACTAATGAGGTAACTGAGCTTTACAGGAGTGAGGTAATTTGCTAGGGCTATCTAGCCAATAAGTGGTAGACTGGTTATTGAGACCTGAGTCTATCTTTTTTTCTTTTTAAGATTTATTTATTTGAAGGTCAGAGTTATACAGAGAGAGGAGAGGCAGAGAGAGAGAGAGGTCTTCCATCTGCTGGTTCACTCCCCAATTGGCCGCAATGACTGGAGCTGTGCCGATCCAAAGCCAGGAGCCAGGAGCTTCTTCTGGGTCTCCCATAGAGATGCAGGGGGCCCAAGGACTTGGCTTATCTTCTACTGCTTTCCCAAGCCATAGCAGAGAGCTGGATGGGAAGAGGAGCAGCTGGGTCTCAAACCAGTGCCCATATGGGCTGCTGATGCTTCAGGCCAGGGAATTAACCCACTGTGCCACAGCACCGGCCCCAGATTTGAGTCTATCTTATTCTGACACCAATGAGGTAAGATGGAAGTTTCAGTATCTAACTGTTAAGAAATGTACGAATTAACTCCAAACAATGTAATTTCATACACTTGGAAAATAAGGAAATCTAGGTGATGATATGTGGGTGTTTGTAATGCCATTCTTACACATTTTCTGTATGTCTAAAATTGGAAAAAAAAATCTCTGGACTTACCCAAGAAGTTCTACATGATGTATTTCAAATTGAAAAAACAAGGTATTGTGTAACAATGGGGGGTATGAATTTTTTAATTTTATAAACAAGCAGAGGGAGAATATATAATAAACTAGTAAAAGTAATTATCTTATTATTTATTCAAACCAAGTTCATTAGCTTTATATTACTACAAATGCCTGAGCAGCTAACTTTATAGAAAAAGGGTTTATTTAGCTTACAATTTTGGAGGCTGAAATTCCCAACAGCACAGCACAGGCTCAGGGACTTCACTTTGGTTGCATTACCTCATGGTAAGTGGTGGATGGCAGTGGCAGGATTGTGTGTCCTAGCAAATATATCATATCTCCAGAGACAGAGAGACTGGTGTCACACAATTCCTTCTGAGTGCATACTCTCTCTCTCTCTCTCTTTTTTTTTTTTTTTTTTTTTTGACAGGCAGATTTAGACAGAGAGAGAGAGACAGAAAGGTCTTCCTTTTTCCATTGGTTCACCCCCCAAGTGGCTGCTACGGCCTGCGCTGAAGAAAGTGAAACAGAAGCGAAGAAGCAACAAAGGATATCTCATTGAATTGTAGGTAGCTGGAGTTTGACTGCACATAGAACTCTCTGAAGAACATATAGAATGTGCCCCAGAATTATCTCACTAAAAAAAATTGGAGGTGAACTGTTACTCTCTACATCTTTTTCACCATTAGTTAAGGTTCCCAAAGGAGTATTAACCATCACCTTCACAGACCTATTCCCCACACTTTCCAGCTAAGCCAGGTTGGGCTGAATGGCCAGCTATTGCTTCAGAAAAAGCCCTGAGGTGCAAAGGCAGAGAGATGTCACCGCCCACTTTTGAGCTTGGACATTGCGCTGTGCTTGGAGTTGTCCACCACAGCTGTGCTGGAATAATAAGGGCACCCAAATAACTGCTGTGTGTTCTAAGAGACTAAACTACATTCATGAACATGAATTTTTCTCCATGCTATAACCTGAGCTGAATCTCTACAGTCTATATTCTCTTTGAAGACATGTTTTCTGCAAATAAATTTGAACTGCCCTGTGCCAACAGAATGTTTTTGGGTTTTGAGATGATTGCATTCTCATTTGAGCAGTTATCACTATAACCCTAAGAACTGGAGATATTTTCTTCATTTCACATTGGAGACACATCATAAAAGGAACCAGATTGAATTTGGGAAAGCTCACCTTGGACTGAACTGCTACTCCCTAGCATGTGCTGTTAATTATGACAACAGAGGATTGACAGCTATTGAACATTTTTTGTCTCTTCTATATGGACATAGAGCATCTAAAGTTGCAAAGCTGATGCTGTTGTGTGTACAGTTCCTGTATCAATGCTGTGGATTAATTCAGGGATAAGGTATCATGTTAACGACTGTGCACAAAATAACTATGAAAGCTGTGCTTGTTTCCACTGTCCGTTATCCTGGGAGAGAAGGACATTAAGTGTTGAAGTTGATTTCTTCTGAGAGGATTCGCTCTGAGTGGAGGAGCGTGGTGGGGCAAGAGGCGAGGAGTCACCACACAGACCCCAAGAGTCGGGTGAAAGCGGGCCAGAGGCATGCAGCCTGCAGACTCGTTTATTTCAGTTGCTGCAGCTGCTTATATAGCCAAGGAAGCCAATCCGGTCAAGAGGCGGTCTATGCCCTAACCAATCACAGTCTGTTGCCAGTCAGGCTCTGTTGTCATGTGGTTTCCGAAGCCATCCAATCGCGGCCTGTTGCCAAGCAGTTTCTGTTGTCAGCAGCCATCTTGGCACGATCTTCTCACCTCAGTGGCCATCTTGGCATGACCTTTTCA